CACGACCTTCCGCGTCTCCCATCTGTCCTTGGCGACATCCCCACAGGTTCTTGCTCATCCCCTAGGGTCACTTGAGGGCTTCTGCATGGCGGTTCAGGGCCTGGGAAAGGGCTGTCACAGTTCCCATCACACGGCCCAGCTCCCAGGTCTCAATCTGGCTTCGGAATCTCTGCAGGAAGCGGTCAGGGTGCCATCGGACCTGCTGGACTCTCAAGTACCTTCTCAGAGCCCCCTGTTCCTCCAGAGGGGGGCCTCTGGCCACCAAGGCTGCAGCCATGGCCTCTGGGTCCCCCCCACCAGGGCATGGCCAGGGCACATCACCAAAGCGCCAGAGGCTGCCCCTTCCTGCCCCTCGTGGGTGTTCTGCCCTGGGCCCAGGCCTGGGAGGCTCTGTCCCTCGGTCCCCTTGAGCCTCTTGAGCCCTCCTGGCTCGGCTCTCACGCAGTTCCTCCTCCTTGGCCCGTGCTCGCTCTCGGAAAAGCCGCTGCTCCTCCTCGTGCTGCCGCCAGCTGTGACTGGAGCCCTCAGCCCTTGGGGGTCGGCGGGATGTCTCTGCCTCCAGCTGCCGCCGCCGTTTCTGGGCGTGCTCTCGAGCCAGGCGGTCTGACCAGGCTGAGAAGGACTCGGGTTCCTGCATCTCATGAGAAGCATCCTCTGTTGGGGAAGAGGCAGGAGGCTGTTGGAGGGAGGGTAAGGATGCACGCAGAGGGGAGGGCCTAGGACCCGGGCCAGGGGAGGGAGGGCGGCTATGGGTGGCAGTGGCTTCCTCACCTTCAAACCTCCCTCTGACCTCCTGCCACTCATCCTCCAACTCGCCCTGCAGCTTCTGCCGCCACTCCTGCTCCTTGGAGACCTCTTCATCCTCTTCCTCTTCAGCAGAATCCCAGGGGGGTCCCCAGCCCAGAATCTGCCCGGGAGTCTCCCCATCCTTATTCTTTATCCCCATGGCGGAGGGGCAGCGACTCAGCAGTGGCAGGAAGAAGTCCGTGTAAGCTGTGGGCAGAGACAGCAAGCCGATCAGCTGGGGCTCGGGCCCTGATGCGCCACCATCTTGGAGTCTCTAACTCCTGGGTATGCGGAATAACCACACTGACATTCACTAGTAATTACATGAGTGCTAAGTGTGGAGGTCTAGAATGTTCGACTTCAGTTCACTGCAAGTGCTTCCGTTTTCTGGACACAGCTCCTGCCACCTAGGATGGCTTCCAATTCTTTTGACTATTTTTTTTTGGTTTGAAACTATTATCACTATATACCTATTCCTAACTATCGTTCTCACCCAAAACTACATATTAAGATCACTGCTGGGGGGGGTGGTGGTACAAGCCTTTAATCCCAGCACTCAGGAGGGAAAGGAGGTGAGTCTGAGTTCCAGGATGGGCTCCAAAGCTACACAGTGAGACCCTGTCTCAAAAAACCAAACAAAAACAAAAAAGAGTAGTGCTAGAGAATGTCAAAGAGCATATCCGTATTGCTGCAAACACAGAAGCACATTTACTATTTCTGCCCAATAAAGAGGAGTGAAATAAACGTTCTCTGCAGAATTTCTCAGCCTTACCCACGGATGGGAAGGAATGAGCATGGACCACATAGATGCCAGGGCAGGGGGAGTACACGGTGGGTGACAGCC